GACCAACTCAAGTCCGGTCAGATCGAGAAATTTGACCTGCTTGAGTTTTCAGAATTAGAAAAATTAAATTAAATAAAATCGAAAAAATGTCATAAATTCCTTTGAGAAAAACAAAAATGAAAAAAAGTCAAATATTAGGTTCGATCATCAACATACTGCAATTTTGGCAACAGGGTACCCGCCCGAGTACCTTATACGTACCTAAAAGTACTTTAAGGTACTTCAGTACCCGAAAGTTCCTGTGACATACTAGCAGCAGGGTACTTTTTCAGGTACCCTTAGCTCAGTACATTCACTAGGGTAGGCTCAGTTTCGTGAAACCTATTCCAGGATAGGCTTTAATCTATCGAAGCACACAAGCTCCGCCGCCTATGTGTTGTGTTCAACTTGGTGAAAATTACTCAACTGGCGTACCTGAATATTTTCAAATTGATAGTACAGAATGAATGCCGCTACAAAATCAGAAACTATTTTCTCTCATTTACGAGATCATTTAGTATTTTAGAACAAACTAAAAAATCATGATTTTTTGCTATTTAGATAGTACTTTCAATTTCACACAACAGACTTTCTCAGAATACTATAATGCTTATGAATTTTCTAATTTATACGGAAATGCTTCTTGAATATCCTTTCTAGCGCACTTCAGCGACCTCTTTCTCTCGAATTCGTGATTATCTAACGAGAAAAGCGAGTACACGCACGAACAGAGTATTGTGGATGGGCACGACAATCCTGAATCATTTGAGGCAGGATTGCATTTTGCTTATATTGGTATAATATAGGTTAACTAAGACTGAATGTTGCTAAAACTGACTGCAAAATAGGTCTGTTAGCTATCTTTTGCCTTTCTTCTATTTCTCACTGTCTAAAGATATGGAGCGACAAAATGAAGTCAATGAAATTTGAGGGATACGCTAAGACTGACTTAAATCTGATTTTTTAGTCATAACGAACCTGAATCCACCACTCTCTAGCTTCACGATGGATGATGTTTGTTTATTCACGAAAAGGAAGAGTTGTCATTGGTCTCCGTCGACCTCTGTAGTGCCAATGACTCAACGGTAGAAAATAGCAGTGATGTACAGTCATAAAGCTAATAAAACAGATCGATAAATGTTGAGTAAATAAAAGAAAATAAATATGAATTATAAAGTCAAGAAGTGAAGTAACCATGTACAAGAGGTGAGATACGAACATATTTTAATTGTTGATCGCATAAAGAAGAGTAATGTAGATGACTTTGAGCTTTAAATGTCAGACTTCTATGATATTACCTTATATAACATCGATCGTCCCATAGTTTATTTATTTTCTCTTTTGTCATAGTCTTTCATAAACAAATCTCATTTCTTCACTATTCCATATAGGAAATTAACATTGTTTCTTTCCGAGCTTTACCTATAGATGAAGAAGAGCAAGTTTACTCTTCAGGTAAACAAAACAAATAAATTTTTTACTTTGGATAAAGGATGAATCATCTACAGAGTTCTCATTATTGGAGCATTTTGTTAGTTGCCTTACTCACGTTTTAGATGATAGGCACAAGCGATGAAGATGTTCAGTTAGCTAACAAACTAGTTGATCCCGCTGCTGAAAATAATAAACAACCGATTTTAAATGTCCTAACTCAAATTCTTCCTGACGATAATCCATCGTATATGGTTTTGGAGCTTGCATCTGGTACTGGTCAACATATTACTTATTTTGCTGAACATTTTCCTCTTATTCAGTTCCAACCAAGTGATATCGAACCACAATATTTACAAAGTATTCGTGCTCACATTAGAGAATATGAAATCAATGCTTTCACTCAAAATTGTTTACAACCAATTACAATTGATCTTCGAGCGCCACCTACTCCTCACAAACAAGTAGACTGCGTCTATACAGCTAATCTAACACAGATTGTACCTTTAGAAATTACACGAAATCTATTTAGTTTTGCTGAAAAAATATTAAGAAAAAATGGTTTTCTTATCATTTATGGACCATTTGCCAAAGATGGACATATTACTCCGGAGAGTAATCGAAAATTTAATGAATATTTACAAAAACACGACGAACGATGGGGTTTAAAAGATATTAATGAATTAACGTCATTAGCAACAAAACATCAGTTACAATTAAGGCAAATATTTGATATGCCAGCGAATAATAAAATATTATGGTTTATCAAGATTGACTAGGATTGAATTTAATACAAGTTATTCAAACATTTGGTTTCTAAAGTTAAAAAGATCTTTTGGCTGGCAGTGAACGTCGGTAACTGAAAAAATTATCATTTTAATAATTTATTTAAAAAAGGACAAGAATCAACTACATCCTGAGGAATTTTTTTGTCGTTTTTTTCTCAAATATGTCTCAAGGTTTGTGCTTTCTATTAATGCCGTACGATAGAAGAAGATTTGTTCTCGTCTGCTACTCTGAAATTCCGTTTGATGTTTTATTCTTTTCTGTGTGAATACATTTCTTTGAACATTTTTGTACATTCCAATGTTAGATGCATTAATATCAAATAACTTTTCCTCCATACTAGATGTGTTACAACGAATATTTTTGAACAAACTTATACTTTCACAGTTTCAAGCCTTGTCAAAACGAGAAGAGTAAGTTAGTTTAAGCTTTATTTGTAAAAAGAAGAAAAAGAAAAGAATTTTCATTAAATAAATATAGAACAGCAAAAAGGAAGAGGAATAGACCCATTTTGATAGAGTAAGTAAGTACTTAAGTAGTAAGTTACGTACAATCTATAAAATTTAACATTTAAAAGAAAGCGAAAAGACGCGACTGCAGTAAAAATATCGAATAGACAAATATTTTATCTAATATTTCTAAAATATATAGAATTATTTTATTATTTGACTAATAGCAATGAATCTGGTTTATTTCTACTATTTTAGATTGTTGACTACGATGTGGTTTATGTACATAATAAGTTGGATTACCTTTATTCTTACCGCATTCTGTTTAACATTCAGTGTGGCTACTGGCATATACTGCATGGCAGAATTGATTGAAGAATATACAAGTGTTGCAAAACGTATTATTCATTATTCATTGTTAATTATTACAGTTTTAAATATTCTTTTGGCCATATTTGAACCTCAATTTACTTGGACATTAACGTGTATTGGTCTCGCATCAAATTTATTATATTTTCTTATTTTATCCAATTTTCCTATTCTTCAGTTTTTATCACCCACATTTCTGGCTGCCATGACTTTACTGCTTATTCATCATTACTTTGCATTTTCATTTTTTAGTCATACGTACTATCCCTTTGATGAAATTCTAGCTTATTTCACATTGTTCGTTTGGTCTATACCATTTACATTTGTTTTGTCATTGTCAGCAAACGTTTATGTACTACCCAGATATAACGAAGATAAACGACCATTGAATAATAGTCAGGATAATGATTTGGTGACAAATTATTTCAGTAAACGTGCAAAGAAATACGGACTTTTAGCATTTATGAGAAATATACAAGAAACATTTCTGCCAAGAAGAAATAAAAAATTTTAACTATCATCATGCTAAAACAGAACAAAAAAACGTTTTGTGCAATAAAAAATGGTTTAAGAGTAGTGTCTGCTTTTGTTTGGTACAATGGCAAATATTGACTAGTCATTCCTCTTGATAGTTTTCGGTATTTCTACCCACGACCAGGTCCATAACCAGGAGGGGTACCCGTTGTGCCCGGGCACACCCCATAAGTAAAAATTGCTATCTAACAGCTAGAATCAGAACCTGTACAACCAAAAAACAAAATGTAAGAAAATCGGTATATCGATTTACATCTATAGTGTACCCCCCTTAGCAAAATCCTGGCTACGGACCTGCCCACGACAAACGAACAAAATTGTTAAGCATATCTTTCTCTTGCTAATTCTCTCGTACAAAAGTAAACTTGCAGTTTTTACTTTTGAAACTAGAGGTAAAGCGCAACTTGCCCGCCAGAAACTCGCCCGGCTGAAAAGTGCCCGTCGGAAACCTACCCACATGGGAAAGTTCTCCGCCCTACAGTTTCTCGCGTGCGAAACTTGCAGCATTGAAACTGATGAAACTAAAAGTGGAGCATTTCCAACAATAATTCTTTTAGTCTGTTAGTCGAGCACCTGACCATCAAACTCGGTCAGCCACACTTAAGCCATTGCAGTCTGTCAGTCAACAGCTTTCTATAGAATTAAATTCTCTATTTTTTGAGCTAAAATATTAAATTTTTAAACGCAAGTCAATATGGATAAAAATTTAACAGAAAAGTGTTTCGGGACTTCTGGTCTATCCTGTATAGTCTGTGATTTTTAGCGGAGTCACTTTTTGTTAAAATTTGAGCGAACCCATGGTATCGTAGAGGTATCGTATACAGAATCTGGAATGAATTCTTTTAACTTAAACGGATGTATCCAGAGTTGCCAGGTGCTTAGGTCATAAAAGCGAAATAAAAAGTCGAAAAAGCGGAAATTTTTTCCAGAATGCAGAAAAAAAGCGGAAACGCATTTTTCATCAAACGCAAAGGATATCAAAACAAATTTTCCTAGCGCTTTATAGTAGTTTCACTTAAGAAACACAAAAGAAGTACAAAACATCATTTAAATCCAATTTGAATCTATATTGACTTTTTGTGGATGCGTGTTTTTGATCAGCCGTTATAAATTCCAATTTAATTCGAAACTTTCCCGCCTACGACAGCACTTAATGGTTAAGATTTTCTGACCGAGTTGGCTTCCTTGAAGATTTAGTATTTCACTATTTTTCACACTCCCTTTCAGCAGCACTTGAAGCAAGCTAATGTTTTTCTGTTATGCTTATCGCTTATTCGTGTTCAAAACAAGATATTCTGGTTGACATTGTGGGTTACAGTACTCTCTAAAAAGAATCTGTAGCTTACAAAATGAGTATCGGTTTTGGCATTTACCTAATAGACACCGATATCCGTATCGTACAGTCTGTTTAACTGTTTCATCGAATACTCTTGAATGTTTTTTGTCTTGTGAAGAATCGAATTTACGTTTTGTATCAGTCAGAGAAAAAATGTTCAGCCGGTTACATCTCTGAGATACAACGCAGTCGGTAGCCTATGTACCACGTGTTGTTGAGGCTCCCAGAGTTCAGGTTTAGTCGATCGGTAGATTCTTCAAAACTGCCTGTAGCACCTGGATCATGGTAGATGGAGACCTGCGAATCTCGCCAGCATGTAGTGGGATATCTGCTCTATAAGTCTTATGTATTTAGAGCCGTATTTCACTATACAGATTTTTGGAATGGCAGGCTGAGAGTTTTTGCTTTAAACGGTATACCACGATAGACCTGTCAGATCTGGCTCAGTGATATTCAGAAAACGTTCGAGTGCATCATATTTTGAAACAGATAGTAGATGAGATTCACACGTAGATATAATAATCTCAAAGTGGAGGATGCTACGGTTAATCAATACGGTCTTTTCGTTCGTTTTTATTGGTGTATAATAGTACATATTCACATTTTTATATTTATTCGGTGTAAAAAAAAACACATATATATTCTACATAAGTCTGACAAATACTTATCGCGGTAAAATTGGCTCTTTTTTTTCCACCTACAGAACTAGCAACAAAACTAGATGGAAAAAGTAGAGATTTTTTTTGTACAAAATATGAAACAATAAGAGAAATCCTGAGAATGAAAAAGATCAAAAATCAACATTTTTACAATTAAATAACGGTACTTTATTCGAACAGTATGTGTATATGTGTAGAAGTATGAACATAATATACTTCTTGAGAAGAGACAAACTTTCCATTCTTGTCGTTTCGTCTCAATACTCGCTTCTATTATTAGCAAGCGTTCAATTGATAAAAATAACAATGACCAGAAGGAGAAGAACAAGTGTACATATTTTATACAGTGTTCTTAATTAGATTCCTAAAATTAGGACAAAGATATCTAAGTCAATCTGTGAATCATTTTTTTGAGTAAATTACGTACAATATTCGCAAACACGACCCGTTTTTTCCGTTGGACAACGACATTTAGCTGTTGTTCCTTGGTAAACACATGTACCACCATTTTTACAATCCAGTGGACACCAACGATAATCATTTGATCTTTGTACTAGAGTTTCAAAACATAAATAATTAGATTAAGAATTATCTTCGAGAAGAAGGCATACTTTGTTCACACAAAATTCCTGTGGAACCAGCATTGCATATACATTTGTATCCATCTTTTGTTGCCACACAATTTCCATTCAAACACGGATTTGGCTGACATGATCTTGGGCGGTTATTATTTTGACATTTATCACCGTAATATTCTTTTGAACACGTACATTTCGCTCCATTATCACCAATGTAACATTCACCACCGTTCAAGCAAGTTATATTCGAGCAAGCCGATGTACTAATTGTACGTTTTCGCGCTAAGAAAAAAAAGCAAAGTCTCAGATTGCTTAACAAATGAACAAGCCATAAGGTGTACAGACCAAATTGACAATAATATCCAGTGTAAGCCCCCGAACAATAACAGCGAGCGATTCCAGCGTTTACCGCACAACCACCGTTATTTTGGCATGGATTTGGCTGACAGGGATTGATAACTGTTACGGTCGGCTGAGGACATGGTGCAACAACGCAAGCAAGTGATGGTGCAGGTTGCGTAGCGGTGGTGGTTGCTGGAAATAATCGAAAAAAACATCACATTTGTCTAAAAAACAAACTAATCTTTTCTCTAATCGTACATGTTTGACAATTACTGCCGGTGAAAGGATATGAGCATGTACAGATGTAACCAGTTGTTGTTTGAATACAAGTTCCACTATTCTAGAAAACAAGAGAAAACAAATCCAAACACCCTTCTTCATATAGAATTTTATTAAATTCCACCTGGCATGGAGTCGGCTGACAGTAATTTCGAATTTCACAAGAAGCCCCAAAATAACTTGTTGAACATTGACAGACAAACGAGGATCCAGACTGGATACATGTACCACCGTTCTGACATGGTTGTGAGACACATGGATTTAGAGGCGCTGGAGGCGCGGTGACCATCAACAGTTCACAACAACGACCGGTATACTGAGTTGGACACAAGCATTGAAACGTGTTGCCAAATTGAGTACAAATACCGCCAAATCTAGAAGACTATTTATTTGCACAAAACTTATGTTTGCTGTTAAAAATACTTACAAACATGGATTTGGCTGACAAACATTTTGTAGGCAGTTGGGACCAGTATAACCACTTACACAAACACAAAAAAAACCATTTCCAGAAACTTGACATGTTCCCCCGTTCGCACATGGATTATTCAAACAAGCATTCGCTTGCACAACACTTATTTCACAACAACGCCCCGAAAATCCACTTGGACAGTTGCAAGCGAACGCATTTGATTGCACATAACAGATACCTCTGTTTTGACATGGATTTGGCTGGCAAACGTTTGGAGTGACAACAACAGCTTCGAACAAACAGAAAGATTCAAACCATTTTTGTTTATAAGAAGTGATGGTCCCTCATGACATTCACGTTGAGACGTGCACCGTCATTTGAATTATATGTTACCTGTTGTAGTTTGACATAGATTTCCAACATAGTTTGTTGGACACTGACACTGAAATCCCACATTGCTCGTTTGACAAACTCCTGCGTTCAAACAGGGATTAACGGCACAAAGATTATTAAGATTACTAACAGTGGATGAACCGTCTGAAAACAAAATAACCGATAACCTCGTTAGACTACATCAACAACATTCCTAGACAACTTATCTTGTACAGAAGAGTTTACCTTGACTACATATATCGCACAGCAGACCAGTACAACCAGTCACACACACACAAATAAATCCTCCATTTGATTGTATGGCGCAAGAGCCCCCGTTTCTGCACGGGTTGATTGTGGGAGGTGCACATAGAGGAGAAGAACCTATCGACGGACCTGTTCCATCTTAAACAAATGCACGAAAAACTGTTTATTATAACGTCAACAAGATTCACATCTCAAAACTAAATATCTGTACCTTGAGTGTCACACAAGGGGCCAGTGTATCCAGGATTACAACTACACATCCATGCCTCAGGGACTACACCAATGACACAGCGTCCATTTACACATGGATTCGGATTACAGTTTGTTACTGTTTGCCTTTGACCTAAATGACCGTATGCAAGAAATTGTTAGAACTTGTTGATTAAGTCTTAGAAATATGTCCCCACACTTACGTGTAATTGTACATTGAGTACCAGTCCATGGAGCTGTGCACTGACATTGAATAGTTTGTCCTACAAGTGTGCATGATGCTCCATTTTTACAATAGGATGAGCATCCAAATGCTTTCGGTGTAATAAAACTTTTGGCAGAGTTCTCCGATAATGATCGACTAGTTTTGATTTTCGATTCTTCCAATGCGTCAAGATCCGCTTCAATTGTTGGATATTCGTCAATGCTCGTTTCATTAAATATAAAAGCGATCATATTCGTATTCCCTAGAACTAATTACACCTTATTAGCATTAAGTGGAAGATAGCATATGAAAGATAAATACCATATCTTGTTTTAGAATTATTACAATTTTCTACTTGCTCTTTCGACACACATGCTCTCAAATCAGAATCATAAGCTGTTTCAGAACCACATGTGAATAGAACTCGTAAGTTATAAAAACAACGATAAAATCGTTGACAATTGCTTTGATCGGATCCAAAGTCTTGGCATTGATGTCCTGAAAATGGAAATTATGAAAAGTGAGATTCAATATAGATCTAGAACCAGTTACATGACAAAAACTGTCGGACTCAGTTCCTTTGTATGGCACTGTGTGTAAAGTGGCCTTACTTCTATATATCTTGCGATGATATACGTACTTTTTAATACTTTATCTGATTGCACAATTCGAACGAATATACATAGAACGAATGTTGTTAACAGTTTCATTGTCGGATGTAAATGATAATAGAGCAGGAAACACCGGTATAGTGAAATGAAATGAGAAAAAGTAGTGCGAATGTGCTAATATTCTTGATATATATAGAGAGAAGGACAAATAAATACCAGAGTGCTTGGAGAATTTTTATTCGCACTAGTTAAATTTCATTTGAGGTCTAGATCATCATGATAAGATATAGGCCAATGATGACAAATCTCCTCTTTTCTATTCTCTCTTGTTGATGAAGGCGTTTTTCAATCTTACGATGTAGGTTGACAGACATTTTAAATGTCGAGAACAAAGAGAAAAAGAGTACACTTTACTTTAAAACGACACCTTCACATACAACAAACAAAAAAATCCGTAAAGACCACACGTAAACGAAAAACATATTTTGTGAAAAAACTTCATGAACATGATTTTTTGTGTAGCATCAGAATATGACATCACCATGAAATTACCATACACCTTAGTTCTGGTAAAACAAGAAACAAAGAAAAGAGATTAATTGAAGGAATGCGACGATTTTGTATGTTCGATATAATGATAGTCTATCTATTTAGGTTATTCACTTAAATCTATACCGAGGTTAAAACTCACAGGCTGCTTGTTAGCGGTGAAGTTCAAATTTAAGGAAGGATATCAAATATCACGCACTGTCTCTCACTCAGTGAAGTCAAGTTTTCTCCGTTAAAAAAATTGATTTTATCATCCACTGTACTTTGCTACGTGGAAAACTAATAAGTCTTTCATTCAGTTTGTGATTGTGTGTAGTATGAAACGGAAACGGTGTAATGTTTGTATTTCTTGCGAACATACAACCTGAGATCGACGAATCATGAAATAAGAACTTGCATCACCGTTCAGAAAAATCAGAAGATTTTATACAGGACTATATTTCTGACTATTCACACAGATCTGTTTAAAATTATATCTTTGTTTTCATAAAAACTTCTAACACAGGTAGCCATATGAAGTTATTAAACTATGTTTGGCCTAATAACCATGCGCTCTACATGTCACAGTGGGCAATCACGTGAACAGTTAGAGAAAAATCGAAAGTGCGATTTTTTAAACTTCAAATAATGTCAAATATACTTTGATGAACGGGCTATGTAATGGTATAAAAAATTTTCCCTCAACTGGTAAATTTTAGAGGAAAATATATCACCAAAAAAGAGGCTAAATACTAGCGATCTCTGAGAAAAAACATTTTTTTATGAATGAAATCGGTTTGTATTTAAAATTATTATATATTCAGAATCTAGACACTTCTAGCTATCTGTCCATAAGAAAGCTGTTCATCTGACCGTAATGATCTAAAAGAAAAGATTATTTTTCGAACAGACAGTGTTTCCAAAAGAATTGTAGTCCAAGTTGAATTGCAGTTAGTTTCCAAAACTTTCCAACGGTTTAGTCTGACTCTAAATCACATCAAAATGTTCGGTAGCATGTCCTAAATCTATGCTGAGTGCACAAAAATGCATATATTTGCCAAAGTCTATTTATAGGTTTTCCAAAAACCCTTGGGTTTTCAGGTAAAATGCAGTTTTCTCAGTACAGGAACGTTTGTATTGGAAAGTAAGAAACGTTTGTATATTCGGACTCAGCTCGACGAGCTGCGTCGAATCATGTACAATACAATAAGTTTTGATTCGAAAAAATATCGATCGAAATTTTTTCCCATGAACCTACAAGACCGATTTTTCGAAAAAAATAAGGTTTTTTCAAAATTTTAAGTTTTTATTTAAAAGCATTAGAGATGACTAAAAAATGATAATCATTCATGAAACAACGATTTACGAGCATAAAATGCCGATGTCCGCCTGCTTTTAGAAAAATACTCATTGGGCGTGTGCTCAGTTGATGATATCGTATAATATTGCAAGATTTTGCATAATTTTATGATAAGAAATAAATATGAGTCTGCAATCTCAGTCTCACTATCGAGATTTTATACGATTATATAGTTTCTTGTCATAAGATCTTGTAATACCTTGTCACTTTTTTTAACATGATCTTGTAAGATCTTATGACAAGATCTTATAATAAGATTATTTATAATAAAATGTCAGATCTTGTATGATTTTGCACGGTAAATTTCACTATGGTTTTTTCGCTATGATACAGTTTGTAACAGTAAATTCTGCAGAAAATAGCATGTACTTAGTAGCGTAGCCAGGATTTTGTTAGTCGGTGGACGTTGCCCCAAATTTCTTCAAAGTAGTAGACATTAGCGCAGAGTAGTGTGAATTATAAAACTTTTAGTGGATGAGCAAAACCAGTTAGTGGGTGAGCTGAGCCCACCTCAGTCCACACGGTGACTACGCCACTACATGTACTTCGTATAAATGATATCGATATATCATATGGCCGGAGCAGCTATGTGACAAGGAGGAAATTAAAACTTTAAATTATCATATTCGACATGATAAATTGTGCTATTCGTATAATTACCGGCGCTTACTATACAGAAAATGTTTCTATTGAAATTTTCACCTTAGGATGCTCTTAAGTATTTCAGCTAAATTTCGGCGGAAGGACTGCCAATCATATGAATAGCACAATTTGACATGGTGATCACGAATATCATAATTTAAAGCTTTAATTTCCTCCTTGTCACGTACTTGCTCCAACTATATGTCATTTACTATAAGTTGTATGCTGGTAGTTTTCCGTTCCGTGCGGTAATGAACAAAAAAGAAAAAAAATCTAATGAACATTTTTACTATACATTTGCATACGTCAAATACGCTTTACTAAACCTTTTTTAAGAACTTATAACCTCTGAGCATAAAACGTTTCGTACACGGTTTGGAAGAATAAGATGTCTTTTTCTGCAACATTTTACAAAACCAGAAAGGTTATCTGATTAGGACACTTTTCTAAAATATTTTAGAAAAGAAATTACACATGGAGAAAAGAGTAGGACGCTTCCTTTCTGAAACACTTTCTTCTTATTTCTCTCTTGTGCAGAAAACAGCACAAAAGTAATAATTTGCAAGATTTATGATGGTTAAGACTAAAATATTTAAATTATATTTCAATTCTGAACACAGTGTCTCGCCACGGGTGGTAAAGAAGAAGAATCTACACAATTTCTTGTTCATAATCCCTGTTTAGAAGAAAACAAAAATTATCGGAAAAGTTATTTTTTTACTATGAATTAATCCGGACATTTGATCAATGATAAATCGATGTGACTGGAAACAATATCGTCCTAGGTCGATCTTTGTCACATTTCTTGTTCGCTGTTAAAAGGACAGGGGCAATAAGAACGAGAATTGGCCCCGTTGCACATCTTCTCGAAAGGTGTCTAGAATGAAAGAGCATGTGATTTTATGGTGTTCCAGAAATCTGCTGGACCATTGTGCATATTCACAAAAAAAAACTAGCTTGGATCCCGATATTTTTATTTTCAATAATTTTTCAAAAAGAATTCATGAATGTCGAGTTGTTCACCCCTGCATTTTATGATAAAACACTTAATAAGTTTTTATAGAGGATTTAAAAGAAAAAATCGTTTCCATAACCAAAGATAAAAAGATTTGCCATAGATTTTGTTTATATGCTATTTATAAGATATGAATTTGCTATTTTTCTGCGTCAACCGACGTTTGAGCGCCCGACATTTGAGCGCCCGACATCTGAGCGCCCGACACTTGAGCGCTCCCGGCAGCTCATGAGTTTGTTTCAAAATACGTTTGTCAACGTTTTATGGTATATGAGCTCATTTTCAAGACTTTACTAGGATAAAAATGTACAGTTGAACATAGGTAAAAACTTTATAGTAACATAGGACTCTAAGAGGCAAAACCAGGCCGCTCACAGATCAAGCTTATATTAACCGATCTGATGTAGTTTTTATCCGCGATTAACCCTAACATATTTATAGATCTTAAAAGTCCTTTTCAGTACCCCCTGGAAACATTTTCGCAAACAAAACTTTTCTTTTATTAAATGTACTTTACTCAGAATATTTTCATTATTTCATCTCTTTCTCTTAGAGCAAACCTCAACTATCATATACCGTTCAATAGAGAATTTCACGGGCTACATATATAAAACATTCAGAAGGAACTGGGACTGAGTTGTCTAATATAAAAAATACTCTGTAACATCTCAGCAAATCGGTAGGTCAACATCATTCATGTTTTATTATAGCCATTTATTTCCTCGTTAACCACTCTACTTTATATACCGTTCGATAGAGAATTTCACGGGCTACCAAATGAGCTCTAACACATTATTTTAAAAGTTTGTATTGGACAATGTATTGGACAAATACTTGACAGATATCTTTCCTATAGCGGTCGATATTTTTCCTATAGCGGCACATAAAAATAATTATAGTTTCTTCTAGAGACAGAGATTAGACACAGTTTGTATATAGAAAGATGCAAAATTGAAAGGGCTAGAGAATGAAGTATAGCCTATTCTTTCAAATTCCCAGTTTGTTAGACTTATGGGCAAGATACCCAACTGATGCAGTAATTTTGGCCTATTGTAGAATGGTGAATGAGATAGTGTGTAAAAGCGGACTGAAATG